CACAGCAGTCATGTATCCGTCCCTTTTTCATTCAGTCCATCATGCAAAAGTCCAGATTGGAATGACTCATCAGCCCTTTTTGCCGACAGGAAACAATCAATTGTGCTGTGTATGAAGCAAACCAAAGATTTCCTCAATGACATTCCATAGGCAGGCAATTCCATAGGTCAGTAGTCCATTCCATGGGCCATATATCTGCAGGCCAGTTCAGTCCATATGTTCACAGGCCTTTTGTCCAGTGTACCCTTGTACCATAAATGCAGAACCTGATTAACAGTATACTAAATGAGAGTAGGTTCATTTGAATCAAATGAACTTACATAGGAGGTGACTCACATTGATTCAGTGGGTCCACTCCAGTGCAATTTGAGCAACAGGATTTTGGCCTTTATATACGAACTCTTCAGGAAAACATGAAACTAACTGACAGAATGAGAAAAAGAAGAGTCCAAGTATTTGCACACTAAAACCACACTTATTACAATTATATACAAAATACAAAGATGAGAAACACTTGTTTTCTCAACTATACCTACCAGAAGGATAGGTTACGTACCGGAACTATGGTTTTTCGAGTGGATCTCTGTGAATTCACACAAATGGGTTAACTTCCTTGCATGTGAGTCTCGGAATCTTCTGGAGGTTAGAAAAGAGAGGTTGTTCAAGTCCCCACCCTCCCACATTGCTTCCCGGTGCCTCTAACGGTCTTCCCTCAGTTCCTGAGACACCATGTGGACACCTGCGAGGCAGGTGTGTGCATGTGGGAGGGAGAATGCATGTGCACGCCCCTGCTCCTTCGGCCCTCAAAAATGTTGGAAATATCTGGTGTGGCCATCAGGGTCAAAGGTTTGGAGACCCCTGCTGCAGGCTGTCGAAGAGGAGATCACTGTGGTAGAGTGTGCCTATAGTACAGTAGGCCTCTAACAACCTCTCTTTTCTAAGCTACCACTGTGGTAGAGTGTGCCTATAGTACAGGAGGCCTCTAACAACCTCTCTTTTCTAAGCTCTATAAGGTTCTGAGACTCATGCATGCATGGAAGTTAGCCCATTTGTGTGCATTCATGGAGACCACAAAAAAGAAGTTCACAATAACTATTCTGGTGGTTGTAGATTTTTTTAAACTGTATGTGTGTGTATACACAAATATTTCTCAGCTCTGGCAAAACATTTTTATTAGGACATAAATGTCAGTTACCTTTTCATCCTGTAAGGAGTCTGTATTATTTTTTCTAGCATCCAGCAAAAGCATTCTTGCATTGTCAATTTTCTTCTATATATAAATATGGGAGAAAACAGTGAAAAAACTACGTCATATTTTTTCTATGAACATCCACAGGTCTTTCCTTATTCAAACCTCCTGCAGCAGTCAATCTTCAGTTGTAGGCTTTGTAAATAGAAAACTTACACCACTCCCATTAACTACCTGCACCACACTTAAATTTGCTTTAAACAGGGGACTAGGAGATTTGAAATAAATTCAGAAAAACAACAGTTTAATCCTCTCACCTACTACTCAATTCTAAATTATTTCAGTCTTTTTCTAGCATGTTTGTCCAATACTAACTGGATGCTGCTGCTTTCTTCCCAATGGTGCATAGTACTTGAAACACAGCAAGTGTAGCACTGCACTTCTGAAAACAGTAGTCCCCTCAGACTTACATCCCCTTAAATGTGGATATGATAGTCATGCATTATTCTGACTATATTTCCCAATCGGTATTTAGTGTTCCAGTCTCAAATCAGCCCCATTTTTTGATCAAGATAAATGAGCAAGCTACTTACTTTTGATGTAAATACGTAAAATGGGTTCAAGATGTCTATCCAACAACAAAATCTTTGAAAGCAAGTCTAAAGGAAGAAATGCACTTTTTAAAATATGTTAGATTTACCAGTCCCATGTGGCCATAATCTCCTAAAGTTGAGCATTAATCTAGGTCTACCAAATACTATACAGCAAACCTTCTTTTATTTCGACACCTTATGTCAGCCTCCCATATAATGAGAGTCTTTCCCATTTGTGAGAAAATTTGGGCATTTGTCTTGCTGAAAGTCATAGTTCTAACAACTTCTCTGAAACACTGTACTCTTCATCCTTTTATCCTGCTGCTGGATCAATGTATACTTTCTGTATGGATACTTGAGTGATTTCGACTTGATTTTCCTCCAGTTCAGGCAACTGCCCTAAGTCCACACTTGTGCGGACATGCTCACAGCAGGCATTATCTCTGGGTCCAAAAATAAGCTAACTCAGGTTAAAGTTTGCAAGCCTGGATGCTAATTCTAAGGAGCTTCATCTCACCCACCATCAAGCAGCCTGCTGCAATTCCAGGCTGGTTTTCAAGGACTGTCCCTCTTCTGGCACCACATTTGGTTTCTACAAGGGAGCAGAGAAAATACTTTCTCCTTCTTCCATCAGCCTGCATGCTCTGCCTGCTTACGATTCCATATGCTTTGTCCCCTGCATGGCTACCATCAGGCTAGTTTCAATACAATGGTGAATTACTTTATATTAGACTTTTGTTTTCAAAATGAACTCAGTTAATATCTCTAATGAGCTGTAAGGGAGGGAGGCCCAGAGAGAAAGAACAAGAAGAATGAACTCAGCAAAATATCTCTTTTAATGAGCTGTAAGGGAGGGAGGCCCGGAGAGAAAGAACAAGAAACCGGGCCCTCTCGGCTGTGGCCCCTCACCTTTGGAACAATCTGTCCCCAGAGATCTGTCTGGCTCCCCTGCTGGGTGTTTTCAAGAGCTCTTTAGGCAGGCTTTCCCTCCTGTCTTCACTTGAATATTTTTCCCATCTTGAGCTATATTACTACTGTTGTTTTTTATTATATTATATTGTTTTATTTTATCTATTATTGTTAGCCGCCCAGAGTAGACTTCGGTTTAGATGGGCGGAGTATTAAATAAATAGATAGATAGATAGATAGATAGATAGATAGATAGATAGATAGATAGATAGATAGATAGATAGATAGATAGATAGATAGACAGACAGACAGACAAATAAATAGTAAGTGCAGCTATGATCCTAACATACTAAGAACCTCAACACCAAGCAACTTTTAAAGAGTTCTTATAAGGAGGGCAGCAAGGAGAAAAACGACTCATAAAGCAGAGATTCCAAAATATGTGGAGAATCTCATCATGCCTTATCTATCGTCTTGTCAGAAACACGTGGGCGCAACTGAAGATATGTGTGCTGTAGGCCTTTTTCAAATATTTAGCATCCACTTGTCTCTGATATAAATGCAAATTCTCACAATCCAAACCCACATTACCTTCCTTTAACTCTGACAAAGAAAGGCATGAAGGATGCAAGTGTATATACCAGAAATGGGAAACCTTTGGCCCTCCAAAGGTTTTGGATGTCACTTCCAATAATCCCTGACAACTGGCAATGTAGAGAGGGGATCTGATGGGAGCTTAAATACAAAACATCAGACCTACCTCCGCTATATCCGCTTACATGCATGTTTATTCCCATTGAAAGCAATGGGACTTTGCAAGGGGAAAATGTACAGTTACACTGCTCAGTCTGAGCTTCGGAAAGTTCCACTTTTTGCACCACACACCCCCTGGATCAGCCAGCCAGCATGACTGACCATGTTAGCAGGGGGATCCAGAGACGTATGGTCCAAAAACATACCTTTTTCAAGTCCTGTGATTTATAAAACAGTTGGGCTGGATTTGAGATATATCAGATAAAAAATGAGACAGATCTTTAACGCGCTTGCTGTACGTCCTCCCCCCCACCCGTATCTAAAAATTAGCTGCACGCACCAAAACAGAGTATTTATGGGGGACTGCAAAGCAGTACAAGCCGGCAAGCAACATTCAGCGGCCGTCCTCCTCCGTTTACAAGTCATTCAGTCCTCCCTGACCTTCGCGGACTCAGCCCCCTTTCCTTTAACCATCGGAGACCTCGGCAGGCCTCCCTTCTCCTCTTTTAGACCTCAGCAAGCAAGCAAGCAAGCGCCCGCGGCCCGCCCCATCCCCGCTTGCCCTACGGAGGGCGCTTCTGCAGCCATACTTCGCCCTCGCTGCGCCAGAACTTCAAATTCGGGTCCATGAGGCTCAGCGTGTGCAGCACCAAAAAGGGGCCGGGCCGGAAAACTCTGGCGGACGCACCCGCTTAAACGTCACGGGAATGGCGTGACGCGCGACTCGTAACGGGTTGCCGCTTTTCCTTAGGTGAAAGTGGATGGTTAATGTTCAGTTTCAGGAAAGACCCTTGGAGCGAACCCTCCTGCCTCGTTTCGCTGCTCTTTGCTGAGAGGGAAGAGAGGGGAGGGGAGGGGTAGTCAGTCGCCAAATCCGCTTGGCGTCCGAAAAGCCTCTTGTTGATAAATGCCCTCAAGTCGCTCCCGACTTTAGGGCGACCCTATGAACCAGTGGCCTCCAAAATGTGTTATTTACAGCCCCGCTCGGCTGTTGTGAAGTCAGGGCTCTTACTTGTATTGAGTCAATCCATCTCACATTCTGATCTACCTCTTTTTCTGCTGCCTTCAACTTTTCCTAGCATTATGCTCTTTTCCAGGAAGACTTGCCTTCTTGTGGTGTAGCCAAATTAGGACAGCCTCAATTTTGTCATTTTTGCTTCTGGAGTGTTCTCTGAAGCACTAGATATGTTACCTCTCCTGCCTTGATTTTAGAAACGAAGTGGAACCTACTGACATCCACACAGGTCTGCAATGTTCTACCATTTACGTACTTGGGGAGCAAGTCCTCAGCTTCGAGTAAGCATGCTGGGCACTTGCTTGCTGATTTCTGCTGATCCTGCAGGCTGAATGGCACTGTGCATCTTCACAAGGACAGGCCTAAATGTTTTCCTGCTGTGAAAGTGCAGAGGTAGAGGTTCCTTTCATTTTTGCCATGCAGCAGTTCAAGGCTGCATGGCATCCAGTTGATGCTGGATATCTCAGCCCCAGGTTATAAGATTATTAAAGTATTACTGTATATGCTGTCAGTTTATTACATCCTCCAGATGAGTCATTCATGCCAGAGCTGTGCTCTCCACCATCACCAATGGGTAAGCCTCCAGCAGAGGTTTGCAGGTCTTAGCGGATACATCCCCAAAACACCAGTTTTTCCAAACCAAACCTGGACTTCTGGCATCTTCCAGGTTTTTTTGGCTTTCCTTGTAATCTCCAGAGGTTTGGTTCTGGATCTGCTAAAGATGCCCACACCAATTTATGCCAAGGATGGGCAAGTTGTGGCCCTTCACATTCTCACTATCATGGTCAATGAAAAGGATATGGGTTGCATTCTACAAAATTGGGTTGGGTTGCATTCTACAAAATTCAGAGCATCACAAGTCATCCACACTTTATGCAATTCACTTTTCCTTTTACACACCTATAGTACACTGAGAAACAGCAGAGGCAGAGGGCAGGTGATTTTGATTTTTTTCCTCTCTGGAAACTTTGCCAAAAGAAGCTAAGATTGCCCCTTCTCTGCTGTCCTTCCACTGGAAGGCAATTACATTTTTTATTTAGGCACACCTCCAGTAATTAACCGTCATCCATGGGGTTGTGGCTGACATGCTAGTTTTCACTATTAAATTTTCAAGTAAGAGATTTTTAAGCTGCTTTAATTATAATTGTATTTTAACAATATAATAAATTTCTATTTTAATATTTGCATTCTTTTTTAAATTACGTAAATTGTAAGCCATTTTAGGTCCCAGTTTGGGAAGAACAGTGGCATATAAAGAAATTATATAAATATATCACTACTGACTGCTAGATTGAGACATACTACTAAGAGGAGTTCTGTATTTTAAAAGGACACTTACTAAAGAATACATGGTAGTAATGACACCTTCTCCCAATATATTTCTTCCATGTAATATAAACTATTAGGGGCAACGAAGTGCATTAACATTGGAAGGGGAGATGGCCTATTTAAAGAACTGATTGACCTGAATGGGGCAGTCGTTACAGGGATCGGCACATATATCAATTCAAATGTTCAAGCATTTCATTCCAAAATACTGCAGTAAGTATCTTTAGCTAACCAGAACTTCGAAATGGTCTATGTCTTTAGACTACAACTCCCAGTATCCCCCCCCAACATGGCTACTAAACTTTTCAAACTCTGTGTCCGATACCTGTCTTTGAGAAACAAAATGATGGATTATAGTAGAACAAAAATGTTTTTTTCTGACACTTCCTTGATTTTAGTTGTGGTTTGATATGGATGCTCAAAGTAGTTTAAGAAATAAACTCTTAATTCACAGGCTCATTAATGAGTCTTCCATGTTTGTGCAGTTACACCGGCATAAATCCACAATAGGATTTGCCCTTTTTTCCCTTATGCAGAATAAATTGTTTCTTTCTTGCACAGTTAGGAAAGCCTCCCCCAGCCCAAAAATTATACAGTGGTGCCTCGCTTAACGACGATAATCCGTTCAAGGAAAATCGCCGTTAAATGAAAACATCGTAAAGCGAAAATAAAAACCCAATTGAAACACACTGAAACCCGTTCAGTGCGTTCCAATGGGGTAAGATCCTTCATATGGCGGCCATTTTCGCTGCCTGTATAGCGAGGAATCCGCCCCTAAACACAGTGGGTAGCCATTTTAATTACCCGGTGGCCATTTTGAAGCCGCTGATCAGCTGTTTAAAAAACATCGTTTTGCAAAGAATCGGTTCCCGAAGCAGGGAACCGATCATTGCAAAGCAAAATTCCCCCATTTAGACCATCGTTTTGTGATCGCAATTGCGATCGCAAAAAGATCGTCGTAAAGCAGATTCGTCATAATGTGGGGCATTCGTAAAGCGATGCACCACTGTACTACAATTTCCAGAATCTATCAGCCAATGTATGTATTCCAGGAGCTACAGTCCAGCCCCCTTCCCCCCAATATAATAAATTCAGGATCTGACTTCTCGTTTGTACACTTTTTTTTTGAGGCAAAGATGCAATGGAATGGAGTGGAATGGATCTCTCTGCTCACCGGTATACACACACACACTTCATTCCAGGGTGCTAGAGCAGGCGTTATTAGTTGGGATATTTAGAGGAGAATTTACAGCGCAGTCCTATACTTGTACAGTAGTGGGAACCCCCGTGGCAGAAACTTAAGGGTTGGGAGAGACGGAACTATTTGCCAGGCAAGTGGCAGGAACTCCACTCTCGGGAGGTTTGGTAGAACAGGTATAACCAAGGCCGAATCAGTGTTTCGCTCCCGGCTCCTCTGTTGTAATAAAATCTCATTTCAGGAGTTCAGACAGCCTGGAGGTCCAGAAACTCTCACCCATGATGGCTCATCCAGCAGTGCGGCTCTGGATGGGGGAGGCAGCACTCACAGAGATTTGAAGACTGTCCCCCGGTCATGCCCAATGATTGAAGCACCATTGAGGACAGCGGTTTCCAACCTTGGCCAACCCAGGTGTTCTTGGACTGCCTTCACCACTGGGATTCTGGGAGTTGCAGTTTAAGAACACCTGGGTTACCCACCAGTTTAGGGGAAAGGGAATTAAAAGGGAGTTTGTTGTACTTAAAACAGATGTTGCAGTTGGTACGATGGAGAGTCAATGCGGCATCGTGCTTAGATCCATGGTTCCCACCCTTGGGTCCCCAGATGTTCTTGGAGTGCAACTCCCAGGAATCCTGGCCAGCACAGCTAGTGGTGAAAGCCTCTGGGAGTTTTAGTTCAAAAGCATCTGGGGATCCAAGGTTGGGAACTGCTCAGTGAGAGCCTTAGACGTGGGAGATCTTAGTTACCCATTCCCACTGATATGTGAAATTCGCTTGGTGACCTTTGGCTAGTCCATCTTTTTTTACCTTGACCACCTTCGTTTACTACTAGATGTGAAGGTTACTGGTTTATACGAATACTGGTTTATACAATTTCTCAGGCTTGCAGTTCCACAAGCTAAAGATCATCCCATTGAAAGCAATGGAGCTTCTACGTGTACAAGAGAGTGGTGAATATCCAAATGTCAAGAGGAAAAGAAGACAATCACGGACCATTGTTCACAGTGAAAATGAAAAGATTTTGGCTTTCGACCGGTTCAGACTTTGGGCAATCAACACAGAAACCAGGAAGGTAAAGACTTCCATTTATCAAGACAGGGCATCTCTCCTGCAGAGTTATAGCCATTTGAGAACAATTGTACTGTTAACAGCTCAATCCAACAGAAGCCTGGGACTTATAATGTAATAAATTAATGTAACACTTGTTTAAATCTTTTAATATTTGCATACTTACCTTTATAGCTTTTAAATATCTTTTTTTAAACGATGTAAGCCACCTTGGGTTCTTTTTAAGGAGAAAGGTGGGATAAAAATACTTTAAACAAACAAACATATATCTCGCTAGTCTAATATTAGAAAATCTGCATTCAAAGCAGCACTAAACAAAGTCATTGGTAACAAAATTGCAGTAGGCATGGAAGTTGCTGTTGAGCAGTGCCAATAACAAAGGGCTTAATTTAACCATGAATTAATACTTCTATTTTGGGAATAAATACTTTTTTTCTATAAATATTAAAATATGTTTAATAGCCGATATTATTATGGAAGATGTCCATATATTTTAAAAGCTTCTTCACTGTAATTCGGAAGGACAATGAATTCAGTAGCATAATAGTTTTGCTTGAGGGAGAAGATGGCTGAAATATGTGGACAAAGTACAGTGGTGCCTCGCTTAACGTTTGCTTTGTTTAACGTTTTTTTCGCTTAACGTTTATTTTTTCAGAGGCAGATTGTGCTTCGTATAACGTTTTTCCCTATGGGCGATTTTCGCATAGCGTTTTTGGGACCATGCTTCGCTTAACGTTTTTCGGTTTCCAATGCATCTCTATGGGAAATGGTGTTTCGCATAAAGTTTTTTTCGCATAAGGTTTTTTTTTTGGAACCAATTAAAAACGTTATGCGAGGCACCACTGTATATATACTATACAGTAGGACCTTGACTTACGAAGTCCCTAGCTACGAACATTTCAACTTATGAACAGCTCCGTTCGCAAAATCTGTATCGACTTGTGAACAGAGCCTCGACTTATGAATGAAAAAAAAGCAGGGGAAAAGGGTAGGAAATTCAAATTTCCCCTGCCTTTTTTTCGTTCCATTCAAACCGTTGGTGGCGAAGAGGATGCTCTTTCGCCCCAACGGTTAGAAAAAGGGACACCCCCAGGAGGTCTCCAATGGCGGCAGGGACACCTTGGGAGCTTCCCCGCCACCATCGGAGACCTCGCTGCCGTGATTGGACCCCCAAGAGGTCTCCGATGGCGGCAGGGAAACCTTGGGAGCTTCCACGCCACCATCGGAGACTTCCTGGGGGTCCGATCGTGGCGGTGGGGGAGCAATTTTAAATTTCCCGCACTTGCAATTTTAAATTTCCCGTGCTTTTCTGCCTCTGGCTTTCCTGGGGGGTAGATCTGTGAACATGATCTATCTGTGAATTTGTTCTACCCTACTAAACTGTGACCAATAAGGAGGAAGCATGGACAATAAAATGGGTAAAGTCTACCTTCATAAGATCAGTTTGTGTGGCCACTAGGTCACATCACATTTTATGAACAGGAATAGAGGGCCAATGCATGTCCGAAACTGGCAGAACATGTTAATGAGCTTTTGTGAAGCAGCCCTTCATTGAATAAGAATACACAGAAGAGAAGTGCAAAAACTAGTTTTTCTGGTACTTCTTCCAAGTTATTCTGCCATATATTGAACCTATTAAATATTTTTGAAATGATAACTAGTTTCTCAAAGGAGAGAAACTTCACTATACAACACTATGAGCAAACCAAAAACATTAATACTTTGCAAGCTGAATATGGCAGGCAACAATTATTTCCTTCAGACAGCTGCCTTTTAAAATTTGAAGCATTTTCTTCTAGAGTTATTATACATGGGAACCACAGAAAACGTGAGCAATGCTAAAGTCTTGAGCCTTGAAGATTACTTTTTTATGCAATCCTGCAAAATACAGCAACATTACATCACAACAAATCTTAAAATAGTTGTGCATGTTTATTACAATCATTTGCTCTCACAGGATGTCAGTTGAAGAAATAGATACTATTATTAACTCCTTGTTCATGGCCTTATTTATTCAGTTTTGCAAAATATTCCTTTGATCCTTCTGGACTTGGCTTGATCTGCAAAGCAAAACGATCAAAACAGAAGATTAATACTGAATTATATATTCAATCAAGACCATAATTAAATACTATTAATAATCCACATCTTTCAAAACTAGGATCAGGTAAAGTGCAGCTCTGCAGCTATTTCTGTGCCCTCCCAGCCTCATTTCTCTGGCAAAAAACCCCCACTTTACTGGTTTAATAAATGACATTTTCTACTATCTTCAAAAGCTACTTTTAAGCAGCATCTAGCACTCCGAAGTATTTTAGACGTGTTTTGAGCATAGTTCTATGCCAGTCTCTTATCAGCCTAAACTTCTCCCCCATTCTCTTCTGTAACTGATAGTAATGGAAAAGTAACAAATACCACAATAAGTCATGTAAGACACTACTTTCTCAACAGTGTAATGAGAAAAGATAACCAGTTACTCTTCCAAAAATGCAATGAATAACAGGAATGAAATAATGCTCTAGTTTTCTAAAATATTGTTTCAAACTCTGAATGTTCTACATGCACAGCTGAGACTACTGTACAATGATTTCTTTTTAAGTTAATCTCTGTAATCAGCAGTTTTCAGTTTGAATAAGCCCAGAATTGAACCTCTCTCCTATACTAAAAATAAAGGCTTGGAAGTTTTTATAGTTTAAAGACACAACTATCAGCAACATACCGTGGGAGAGTTTGGAGTCCAATTTGCTGGGCAGACTTCTCCATGTGTTTCTACAAACTGGAAGGCTTTTACCAGCCGAAGTGTTTCTTCTACGCTGCGACCAACTGGGAGGTCATTGATGCTCAAATGCTTGATGATGCCATTAGGATCAATGACAAATAGACCCCTTCAAAGAAATAAAGCAAATTATTTTTAAAAAATGTACACAAAAATGGTGAGCAAAGGAACAGGACCAGTTAAAGCTCCTTGTCAGACCTTTACTATCCACACTAGGAAGCCAAGAGAGGAGACCGCAAGGCTTAAGTTTGTGCCCCTGGCTCCCACTACACTCTTTCAGCATGTGACCCTTGAACATTGCATAGAATTTTATACTGCCAACAATACAGATTTTAAACCTGTAGAGAGCTAATACTGATCCTTGTATTTTGTACAACTATTTGTTCTTTTAAAGTAGTTGTTTTATGTTAGTTGGTTATCAACTCCCAAAGACTAACAATAAAAGTGCAATAAACTAGAATAAATATAGATGAGCAAATGATTTTTTATTCTTCAACAACATAAAGACACAGAATGCAGATAACCCCAGAAAAGTCCTTGTCTGAGTGACTCTGCCTCTTACCACACATGTAAAGTTGCTTTGTACTGCCTGACAGCCTTTCTTTAAATTGGTACAAACTAGTAACAAGTACTGTGAATTAAAGCACATTAATTTCTATGATAATATGATTTTATCTCAACCAGATAAAATTCACATTCAGATAGTATTCATGGATTGCACAATTAGGTGCACATAGGCAAGTAAAGGACGTGGTGGTGCTGCGGGTTAAACCACAGAAGCCTGTGCTGCAAGGTCAGAAGATGGAGTGAGCTGCTGTCACTTTTCCCAACTCCTGCCAACCTAACAGTTCGAAGGCATGTAAAAATGCAAGTAGATAAATAGGTACCACCATGGTGGGAAGGGAACAGTGTTACATGTCTAGTCGCGCTGGCTATGTGGCCACAGAAACTGCCTATGGACAAATGCTGGCTCTGCACCTTGGAGACGGGGACGAGCACCATGCCATAGAGTCGGACACGACTAGACTAAATGTCAAGGGGAACCTTTACCTAGGCAAGTATATTATAAAGTGAGCTCAGTTCTTAGAGCATAACACAGTCCTTTCTTTTGCTTATCTGTTTGTTAAAAGTGATTAAAGTCACTGTTTCCTTGTTATGCAAGTCTGAATACAGTCCCAGAAGTCTGGATAACCTACAAACAGTTTTGCTGGCTCACATCCTTCCTCATTTCATTGTATTTATGCACGGAGGGTGCTTGCTTTTCCTCACAGGAGGATGCATTGGTTTTTATAATTCCCACAGCTGCAAAGCTAATATGGAAAACGTCATCTAGACAGAAATATCGAACACAGAACACGGCCAAAGAGCCCGAAAAACCCACAACAACCATTTATATCTGGTGCTTATACATTATTCTTACAATAAAGCAAAATAGAAACTCACCTACACCTTCAGTCTAGAGAACCTCAAGTTGTTTCAGCATTTCTATAAAGCTGAGGCTCTGTTGCAGTTCTTCCCTTAATAAAGGGCTTGCGATTATTCCCAAGTGTGCAGTCCTAAAGTGACATGTGTGTTCTAAGCCTTGCATTCTTGAAAGAGAGATGTCCTCAGGTTTATGAAAACCAGCACTGAAGGCATAGGCAAGTTTCTAGTTCGCTTTATTGTAAGAGTAATAACAACATCTAAAAAACTAGTATAAAACTATGTTTCTGTTCAGATAGTTTTCCATATTAGCTGTGCAGCTGTAGGAATTATAAAAACCAATGCATCTTCCTATGAGAAGAAATACATACCCTCTCTGGATAGACAACGAAACAGGGACTCAAGCTGGAAAAACTGTTGGGAGGTTATCCAGACTTCAGGGAGTGTATCCAAACTCACAAAGCAAGGAAACGACAGCTTTGATCACTTTCAACGAACTGATAAGCAAAATAAAGGACTGTGTAATGCTCTCTTATAAGAACCGAGTTTACTTTATATAAACCTGTGTATGCGTACCTAATTGTAACTGTAAAACATGAATACTATCTGAATGAGGTTAAGGCAAAACAATGTTATCATAGAAACTAATGCACTTTCATTTACGATATTTATTACTAGTCTATAGAGTATTTCCGTGAATCTCTCTTCTTTCTAGTTAACTCCTTTAAATTGGAACAGGTATTCTGTGGCTCTCTAAATGTTATTAAACTACATATGCCATCAGCTCTAGCCAGCAGAGTCACTGGTGAGGGATTATGGTAGTTAAAGTGCAATATTAGCAGGGTTATATGATGTGCACTGTGGAAAATGCTCATTGAAGACCACCCCAGAAGACCACCTTCTAACACTGAATAATTTAATTTAATTCACCTCAGAAACATTAAAGGAAATAAATGGAAAATAATCTCCCACCTTAATGCAATGCCAGAGGCTTCCAAAAGCACACCATAATCTCGGGAGATCTGTTTTGTTATGTCTGAAAGAAGAGGGATATTCATATGGCCCAAGCCACCATTCTAATGAAAGAGAAAATGGATTAGGCTTTAAGTGGGGAAAGAGCCATATGAAGACTTTTTCTTTAAACAGAAAAAATTTGTGGTGGAAAGCCCATTGAATATAATATTTGAGAAAAACATTTTATGAGCATGGAAAGATGCAATCAAATTTGGACAGAAGACAAATTTTCGTGACATGTTAACTTAGAATTAATTTACAATTTAACAACAACAACAACAACAACAATAATAAAGAGAGAAACACAAGGAACATCAGATGAACAAAGATTCTATCATGGTTCTTTAGCTAGTACTAGGACAGTCTTTATATAACTTAAGTTTAGTAAAGTACTCATTTTCTGGATTCCATATCTTTTCAACACTTAGCCCTATCCAGCAACAATGCATGTACGACTCAAAGGGTCCCAAAAATATATATAAGTTCATTCTCCATTTCCCCATCCTATGCTAAAGTCTTACTGACCTTCATGTACCTGTTCATAGATCTGGACAGGTACTATAAAACGCATTTGGCTCAACATTATTTACCACACTTACTGTATATAGAACTCTGAGCTGAACACACAAAGATCTGTGGGAATTCTGGTTGAGGTGCCCACATTTCATTCTGAGGCCTACACATTTTCAGGCTAAACACTTAAACAAGACTGCTGTCCAACTGACTTTTACTGAATGACATGTGAAATATCACGAGTAAAATATGTACAACGTCAAAATATTTACATGGGAATAAATAATAAGTAATGCAAATCTTAGGGTAATGTTTTAATAACCATTTAATAAGTAAATAAAATGTTCACAAATGATAAAACAGGAAGAGAACTTCCAGGTTTTGACAATATGAGAAGACACATAGCATCTGATCAACTACAGTGAAGATCTTCCTTTGAATTTCAGGTAGGCACTAGATTTTATGCCTGGTAAGTAAGAGAAATGCAGTCAATCTATAGAGTGCTATCCTTGCTTTTTGTCTATGACAGATCTAATTTTCAGCAAAAAGTAATACTATTGGGATTTGGTATGTGGCTATTCTAGCACTCTGTTGTGAAATAAAAATAGGAGGGTAACAATAGGTTTTTTTTTCTAGGTTTAGCGATTCAAACAAATTAGCCAAAAATATAAGGTTTCAGCTGTTTGTTTTTATATCTCAAGGGTGAAATCTCAGTATCATACTCTGCATAAGCTTCCCTGGCATTGCAAGGCTAGTTATTAGTATAGGCATGTGGCTCTATTGAATTTCACAGTATCTATTAAGTCAGGAAGATAAATAATCTATCCTTGAAACATGGCTGACAAGTCTCATTAGCCTTCAGAGACTGCCCAGGGTCAGTTTTTGAGCAACCTTGTTGTTAACTTGTACAGTACTTCAATTTTGCAAACACTTCCTGGAAGAGTTCACTTATTTCAAGGCTATCAGGCATGACACAAAGTGTAGCCTCATTTAAACTGATGGAATTGCCAAGCTAGTCCCCTCCCCATTAGAAACTAGAGAAATAAAGAATCTCTGCCTAATGGCCAACTCTTCCAAAACATGAGGTTGGATCATTAACACAGCAAAATTGCAAGTCCAATTGCTATAAATGCAATACTAAGTCCAAAGGATCCCTCGTTTAACAGGTCTATAGATGTTTTTTTTAACACAGGAAATATTCACAGATCCCAGGTGAAGGAAGACAATGGGTATGACATGGGAACAAAGATTCAAAGCTCTGGACCAAATTCTTTGAAGGAAGACAAAAACAAAATAAAGCATAGTTGCATCTTAAAGACTATTATATTTCAATGGGGGCTTTTTTGGACACATCTACTTCTTCAACATTTTAAAGGAAAATAAATCTTTCTGTAGTTTTATTTCACTCTAAAATATCTGAACAAGTGAATGTATCCATAAAAGCTTATACTGAAATGTAACAGATAGTCTTTAAGGTGCCACTCTGTTTTTATTTTATTTCCATGTTACATTATGTTTCTGTTTATGTTATATTTCTGTTTCTATCTGGATATTCTTGCACAGACAACACAGCTGTTCCTTTGAAAAAGAGATGGTAACAAGAATGATTAATTACGATGAGGGGAAGAAAAATCAGTGGCCAGAATCCTGCTGGGTTACCCAATTATAGAAAGGAAACTACTTATTCATTTTGCCAGCTGTCCAAAGTGCAATGCCTGTCTGCACAACAGCCAGTCAGTGAAATGTCAAAACTGGTTGTGTGACTGGCCAAAATGATTGGTTTTCACCATGTGTGAATGCCAATGCCTTAAATCAACAAAAGGCAAAAATAATTCATATTCCCCCCACTAATATGTCTTCATGCACTTCATAAACGATTTCAATCTTAAGCTAACTTATAAGATTACTATTAAACTGCATTAATTTGCAAGTAAAATATTATTTACAGTTTTATTCTTACCATAAGGCCTCACATTTCCTTTAGAAAGGCATCCATTAACTCAGTATATGTAGCAAAGGTATTGCTTTGGTCACTAAAAAGAACTGTTGAGCTAATATACATACTGTATATCTAGATTTAATGGTAAGATAGCCATTATCTAAGAGAAATGTCATATTTATAATTTTAAAGCAATTTTAAAAATCAGACTTTATTTTTAAACAATCAATTATGAGCTATTTTTTCCCCAAATAAACTATTCCATTTATTTATTTTTTTGTCAAATTCTCCCTTCTGAATAGCAGAGTTCCTCTGAACGACAAATACTTTTTCTTAAAAAAAAAAAAAAAAAGTCCATCCTCTACCTTTCGTGGTGTATTTATCCAAGCCAGGTGACAAAAGTGTGAATCCACAGACACACCAACAACCTCACAGTTCACATCATGGAATTCATTTGCTTTGTCGCTGAAAGCAATAATTTCTGTTGGGCATACGAAAGTGCTAGTGGAAAGAAATGCAACCAGAATGTAAAGGAGGAAACATACAACCCTATTTTAAAAATATCATTCCTTCCCCGACACAACTGGTTTCAGTAGAGAAACCTGGGTCACAGGCTATTTCACAGGCTATTTCACCTGGAAAGTACACAGAGAAATGGAGCATCAAAACTGGAACTCTTACTTCCCAGTTTCCATTTCAGAGGATCTGTCATCTCCTTTTTTAGGAACCTTGAACTCATATTCCAAAGGAACCCCATGAGATCCAGGCACCAACCTCTACAATTGGCACCTTATTTAGTTAGTTATATGCAGGAACCAACTCACAACAATCCTTACAGGGCTTTCAAGTTACGTGAGATAGCTAAAGAATAGTTTTACCAGTTCCATGACCCCCATGATTCTCCACAGTAGCAGAGATTCAAACCCTGGTCTCCGGAGTCCTAATCTTTCACTGTACATCACACTAGATAATCTGGCACCTTAGAGACCAACAGGTTTTATTTCAATGCCTGTTTGCCTGCCTGCTGAGGCAATACCCCATGCGTCTGTACAAGACTACAAGTCCAGAAGTCTATCCCACCTAAAACCTGCCATTCATTAAGGTATTAGAAAACTTGATTGCTAAAACTAGGAATGGCAATGTAACCCACAATATAAACTGCTAGCAGAAAAAACATTTGTTTTAATATATTAACATCTCACCCTCAACTCTGTAGCACATAATGTATCCTCCATCTTAATTCTGTTAGAAAGACTATTAGTAAACTTATTGCCAGCTGTTACTTTGCTGCTAAACATAGGATATCGGCACCACAGGTGCCTGGGAAAACAGTGTCCTCCCCCTGGCTGTGTGTGCTGCGCAGTGAGTGGTACGTAGACCTGCTGGTTTTGGAGGGAGCGTTCGGTTTTCTCAGACACGCATGGTGCCAATATTCGTATTTGTATCCCCAGCAATATGAATATGAATATCCCATTTCTATTTGCTGCTCTACAACAACTCAGCATTGCACTGCCTTACAGGTTCCATCTCAACCTGAAATACTTAAGTGGTTGCAATTCAAAGCTCTGTTGCATAGTTTAGACAGCAACCTAAGACTCCCCATAACTTTGTCTTTATAAATATCCACTTCTTCCATTCTACATTTGCTGAATATGCCACTGCTGATTATTCACTACGGATAGAGAATATGTGGCCTTTCAGAAGCTATCAGACTACAACTCCTATCAGTCCTATACAACATAGCTACTGGTGATGGATTATGTGAATTACAGTCCAGCAATATCTTAAACCATTCTTATATTCCTCATTCCTGATTTACATAACAAAACAACATCTAATTTTTTTCAACAACCAGATATTTTAAATTCTTCTGTATAGTTTAAACTCATAAACTTCTTCAGCAAGGCACTGATGAGACCACCTGCACTACAATTTTATCAATAATGCCATACAAAAAAGGCACACCCACCCTATCATATAAAGACAGACAGAATATAAGTGAAAGCAACTAATCTACTGGAGGCCTTTATCTCCAGAAAACATTTGCCCCCTGAAAGGAGAGACCGTTTAAATGCTAACTTACAAATCCAAAGGGTAGAAGAAAAGAACCAGGTATTTCCCTTTGAAGTCATCCAAGCTCATTTCTTTGAAATCCCCATCAACCACAGCTGTACCTTTAAAATAAGGAGCATGCTGAGTGACAGCAGGAACAAATCTTGAGGGACCTAGGAAAAGACAGAAATGATACAGGTATTGTTAGATCTATACAACAAGCTTTTGAGAGGAAACAAGACAGACGCCCAATGACAGCTGAAGCCTATATATATATATATCACACTTTCATTTTGCACTATTTATCCCAAATACATTTCCTACAGTCAGATCAATCTTTCCTGCCCTGATTACTGGCTGAATGTGTAACAGCATTTGAGAAGTGAGCACAAGAAACCGCTCTTACTATACTGCATATCTGAACAATTCGGTTAAGACAAATACCAAGCTATTTCAAAACATGCCCTGTGTATGCTCAACAGACCATGCTCTACAAATGTAGAATGTGCTTCCAGCCATTGAATTCAGCATGTGTCCCAGGGTGATGTCTGGGTTTCCATTTTTACAAAACAAGGTCCTACTCACTAAGATTATGAAGACTGGCTGGACATTTTAGTGCAATTTGCACTAAAATCACAGATACTAAGAAAGAAGGATCTTAGTCCTTAAAAAAAAAACCAGGGCCTCAAGGTGCTTCAACGGCCTGTATTATATCCTAAACCCCATGATTAGCTTAAGCAGAACAAGTTATCAAAAATGATGGTAGACTTATGCACAGTCTCTTCGTTAAATGTTCTAGTCGCACGGACAAATATGACTTGCTGCTACTAATGCTCGTACAACACAGCTTTTCATAGGTTTCAGGTGTCATTTCAAAATAGAATCTGCATTTCTGCTTGAGCACAGATCCTTAACTGCCACCAAGTCACCTGCAATTTAGGGTGACCCCAATAGAACATTTGAAGTATATGAGCTGTTCAAAAGGTATTTACCATAGCTGACAAAATTTCATGTCAAAATGTTGGTGACACCTTCCCAAAAAATCAGGGCTTTGCAGAGCTCCTTTCCTCCAGTGGTTCCCAACCTTAGGTAACCAAAGTGTTCTTGGACTGCAATTCCCAGAAATCCTGGCCAGCCCAGCTGGTGGAAAAGGCACAGCCAACTTCAGTGTAAACCTACACAGTTACAGCAGTTTGATTCCATTGTAATTGCTGTGGTTCCATCCTATGGAATCCTGCAACCTGTAGTTTGGTAATCAGAATTTTTGCGAAAGGGCTCCTGTGAAACACAGCAACATCTTATCAAACTTCAGATCCCAGGAATCTTCAGAAAGCAGTCAAGAGTGCTGAAGAGGAATCAAACTGATGTAACCAGGAACCAGTATTATTCACCACCGAGTTCAGAATATGGAGAAGAGTACTGCCAACAAC